CCCAGAGGAGACACTCAACCAAAAACAGACTACCTAATCTTGTAAGAGACTTTTTATGCGGTGTGGGCTCAGTCTATTTCCTGCATCCTCATGCAGCCTGAGTAACTGCTGCGTCTCTTCTTTTCTTGTTTGTTGATCTATAGAGAGGCCGAGCCGTCCTACATGCAGGAGGTGGTGATCACACGCATAGCAATATACCCTCCACATCAAAAATAACTTTCTGTAAAGCAGCCATGCACGCAGGCGAGGAGGAAGGAGAGGTGACGGAGACTTCTGGTTCAGGGGTGTGGATGCAGTGAGGAACTGAACGTGAATGAACTCGTTACAGATTAATTTTTCCTCATTGTTCTGTCGTAGTTCTTATTCTTCTCTGTGAAATGAAGAGTGGAACGTACCCAGGTTTTCACGCTGATGTTTGCGAGTGTTTCTGCCGTGGCGGGATGCGCACGAATAACAAACCATCTGGCAGGACCGCGAGTCGGTGCTTGCAGCACATCTTGTAGAACACACTAGAGTAACGTGCACTTGCATTGGTTGGGTTGTGGGGCGGCAAGGTTTTGGCGAAGGTAACAAGCCTCAGGTTTTACTTCACTCTGGGTTTCCTGCGACTTCCTCCTTCAACGCCTCCGTGCAGTTCAACAAGGCACAGTTCAGACAGTTTTAACAAGCGAAGAGACCTAATTATATCATAACCTGATGAGACGCTAAACAAACCACGAGCCTCGGTCGTCTTCATGCACATGATTCACTTTTAAACCGCTGATAATCCTGACGTTATAAAAACTGACAAACAGCTGATTTAAAATTCAAACTCTTCAAGTGATAAAATAAAATCATGCGTGTTTTTACTATGCGGTTGTTGAAGCATGGAGCTTGTTGTGGATTCATCATCCGTGTGTGTGGATTTGTATTTATTTGTTTTTCTTCAGACTGGACGGAGTTACAGGGTTTTACAAGACGGTGGAGATGTATGTTCTTCGCTTTGTGTTGATGGCAGCAGCTGGATTGGTCGACAGGTGTGTCCTTTGTTCCAGGTCTTATCACTGAGAGCAAGACGCCTCCATGTCTTCAGTGTCAGAAAACACGTCTGAGATACAGCAACTTGCTCTTCATCTGCTGCTGGACAGCCTGTTAGACACATGAGACCTGGACCTGTTAGACCTGTGTGTGTGTGTTGTGTGGTGTGTGTGTGTGTGGGTGTGGTGTGTTGTGGTGTTGATGTTGGAATTTTCTGGCCTCTTTGGCACCCATGTTGTATGATTAGTGTCAGGACTGGAGATGTTAGCTCTACACACACACACACACACACCACACAGTCTGGTTTGTTGCAAGGATGGATGGAGGGAAGCTGCCATCAGTCTTGTGAGACAGCAGATCAGGTGGAGACACCTGAGGCAGGTCTCAGAGTCTCAGAGCCTGGACGTGGTTTATGACCAGTTTTTATTTTATTCTGAACCTTTTAGAACACAATTCAGAGTTGTAAGAATTAGGAGACCAGTTTCACACCCAGAGGGAGGAGGGCGGAGTCACAATAATATAAGTGATTGATGAAACAGATCTTTGTGTTTTTTTCTTTGTATAAAAGTTTTTGTTTCGTAGAAGTTCAAAGTCACATTGTTGGTTGACTGCAGAGTGAGACTATATACCCATGATCCTTTGCTCTTTGTCAGTTGTGTTGCGCTCCCTGCATTGTTCAGTGTCTCTCGTCTTCTTAAAGAGAAGGCGCCTGAAATCAGTGAGGTCACAGTGAGGTCACAACTCAAGCTAACAATGTTTGTAAATTGTGTGAGAAGTTTGGTACGGGTTGACGTGTCAGCAACACAGCACTGTAATTAAAACAAGCCGTCAGGAACTTCTGGAATTTTGTGATGATCACAACAAGCAGCCACCAAGCCCCCCACCATGGACACCACTCATCCAACTATGCAGGATTTTGTTTCTCCTGAGTGTTTTTTACCTGAAATCTGCTTTTTTTTATATTGGATCTCTAGAAAACAGTCCAGCCATAGAAAGAGGCTTCAGAGCCTCCTCTCTTTGATATGGCTGCACCGACCTGTTGTTTGCTAGCAGCTCCAGAGAGAAGCCTGAGAGAGGAGATGTGAAACTACACATGAGATGGCTTTTTTATATCTTCCTGATGTGAGTAAAATACTTCAAACTATAAACACAGATGTAAGAAGAAACATGGAGTTAAACTGAGACAAACTGAATAAAGATTGAGACACGTATCTCCTTTTCTTTTCTTCCATGTGTAAGTGGTTTGAGGTGTCGCTTGCTGGGTGACTGGAGCTGTCCTGGAGAGAGTTTGTCCTTTCCCTCTGTGGTCTCTGGTGTGTCTTCCTCTGCAAGACAGTGTGACGCAGGGTGAGGAAGGGGGCGAGGATACAGGGGGAGGTGGGGAGGTGGTGAGGGGCAACAGAGGGAACAACGATAACTGCATTCTGACCGCCGCAGAGCTGGAGGGAGGGGCGTGCCCTCTGTGGCTGCCAGCGAGCTAACGATGCTAAAACACTACATGACTGTCAACATGACCTAAAACACACGAAACACATAGAAACACACTCATGTAACCAGAACGCAGAGATTTTATGGTTGTAGTTACCGACTGGTAAACCAGATCAATCAAGGAGCCCCCCACCCAGACAGATGACCATCCATCTGTATGATTGACGGAACTACGGACGGATATTCCAGTGGGTCTGTCTGTGATGTCTGTCTGTCGTCTGTCTGTCCTGTCTTTTCCTGTCTGTCTGTCTCTTGTGCTGCTCGTGTTGTTGCTGTTGTCTGCTGGTTCCTGTCTCTGTCTCTTGTCTGCTGTTCTGATCTGTGGTCTGTCTGTCTTGTCTGGTCTGGTCTGGTATGCTGTGTCTCGCTTTCTGTCTGTCTGTCTGTCTGTCTCTGTCTCTCTGTGCGTGTCGCTGTGTCTGATGCGTGTCGTCTCTGTCTGTCTGTTCTGGTCTGTCCTGTTGTCTGTCGGTCGTCTTGTCTGGGTCGTCTGCTGTCTTCAGTCTGGCTCGTGTCGGTGCCTCTAGTCTGTCCTGCTTCTCCTGTCTCTCTGTCTGTCTCTCTGTCCTGTCTGTCTGTCTCTTGTCTGTTCTGTCCTCTCTTCTGTCTCTTCTGCTCTGTCTCGTGTCGCTCTGTGTTCGTCTTCTGCTTGTCCTCTTCATTTCGTCGCAATTATCTTTTTTCTCCCACTTTATAAACTGGACAGTGATGAACGTCGTAGTAACTGAGGCATGCCTAATTACTGTCGGATGTATCTTGCATAATATCGTTACAATACATCATGCAACATCGACATCAGTACAGTGCAGCGCGACGCACACAACACGACACATCAGCTATGACACACACTCACACACACACATCTCACACACCCACACCACACCACACACTCACACACAAAATAACACTCACAACACACACTTTCACACACAACACACACGACACACACACACACTCACACACACTCTCACACACACACACACACTCAGCACACACACACTCCACACACACTTTCAACACACACACACACACACACACACACACAACAAGGCCACACACCACACATCACAGGCTTTGGCCTATTTACATTAATAGAAATCCAATCAGTGGTAATTGGAAACTGTTTACACTCAGTGAGGTGAGTCTGCCTCAACCTGCTGACCTGTGTGTGTGTGTTGTGTGTGTGTGTGTGTGTGTGTGTGTGTGTGTGTGTGTGTGTGTGTGTGGTGGTGTGTGTGTGTGTCTGTGTGTGTGTGTGTGTGTTGTGGTGTGTGTGTAGTGTGGTGTTGTGATTTTGTCATCAGCACAGTTATATGTAAAACTCAGTGTGTTCTTGGAATAAAACATTTGAATAATATTTTGTTACTGACCTGTCAAGACCTTCATGTCTCCTTCATTTACTGTCCAACAGCTACAGCAGCTGTGAAGCTGTGGTCAGAGTGAAGCTGTGGTCAGAGTGAAGCCTGTGGTCAGAGTGAAGCTGTGGTCAGAGTGAAGAAGTGGGTCAAGAGTGAAGTTGGTCAGAGTGCGTGTGTCAGAGCTGAGCTGGTGGTCGAGCTGAAGCTGTGGTCCAGAGTGAAGATGTGGTCAGAAGTGAAGAATGTGGTCAGAGTGAAGCTGCTGGTCAGAGTGAAGCTGTGGTCAGAGTGAAGCTGTGTCAGAGTCGAAGTGATGTCTGAGTGAAGCTGTGGTCAGAGTGAAGATGTGGTCAGAGTGAAGCTGTGGTCAGAGTTCACCCTGAGTGAACTCTGACCACAGCTTCAGCAGGAAAGTAACCAGCGTTACGTTAGTGACAATCATTTCCTGTCTGTGTGTGTGTGGCAGGCTAAGGACAGCGACGATGATGAGGAGGTGTGGTGCAGGTCACAGGGACCATTTCATGGATGAGTTCTTCGAAGCAGGTGAGACACTACAACAACTCACACATAGGTGTACCTGAGGTCACAGGGGTCACGGAGGGTCATGGAGGTCATGTCCTCCAGTATTTCCTCTGGCAAATGTTTAATAACCTCAGGATTCAGAAATGTAATATCTAACATGTGTGTCCCATTAAAGGTGATTTATAACATATATTGAAATACCTAATGAAATTTTGTAAATCTTAAATTAAAATATCTATAATGGGTTAATATATGTTGTGGACATATATCTTTACAATATATGTTTATTTTGTTTATGGATCATATACAGATTCTATATGTTTATATATGTTTTTCTTATTCATTTATATAATTATATATATAATATATACCCACACACACACACACAAACATATATATATATATATATACACTGTTGCTCATAAAGTTGGAATAAAATATTTTTTACTCTTTCCATGAAATGATTGTGACAATGTGATTTATTTAATATCACTGGGTAACTGGGACACATGATGTAATCACTGCACCTGGTTAAAGGTGAGTACTGATGCATTTAAATAGAACAAACAGGATTGTGTCTGAAAACAAAAATGATTCCAACTTTATGGGCAACACCCACATGTATGTACATACATGATGAAGGAGGTGGGGCACGTATATATATACATACATGTAGGTGTTATCTGATCTAAGACGTGTGTGTGTGGGTGTGGTGTGTGTGTGTGTGTGTGTGTGTGTGTGTGGTGTGTGTGTGTGATGTGTGTTGTGTGTGTTGTGTGTGTGAGTGTTGTGTGTGTGTGTGTGTGTGTGTGTGTGTGTGTGTGTGTTGTGTGTGTGTGTGTGTGTGTGTGTAGAGTGTGTGTGGGTGTGTGTGGAGTGTGTGTGTGTGTGTGTGTGAGTTGTGTGTGTGTGGGTGTGTGTGGGTGAGTGTGTGTGGTGTTGATGTGTGTGTGTGGTGCTGTGAGTGTGTGTGTGTGTGGTTGTGGTGTGTGGTTGTGTGTTGTGTGTTTGTGTGTGTGTGTGTGTGTGTGTGTGTGTTGGTGGTGGTGTTTGGTGTGGTGTGTGAGTGTGTGTGTGTGTGTGTGGTGTGTGTGTGTGTGGTGTGTGTGTGTGTTGTGTGTGAGTGTGTGGTGTGCTGTGTGTGTGTGTGTGGTGTGTGTGTGTGTGTGTGTGTGTGTGTGTGAGTGTGTGTGTGTGTGTGTGTGAGTGTGTGTGTGTGTGTGGTTTAGTCGGTTTGTCTCTTTCATGTGCAGTAAAACTAATTTATTATTTTCATTTCATTATAAATGTATAAATAGATTTTATTTGATAAGATATTAAATGTTATTTGTTGTTCAGTTTCCTCTGAGGTCACAGCTGCTGCATCAACTCGTCTTTCTCATATTTATTCAATTATTAACGTTTGAAGGAGAAAAGACAAATTCACTGAAGCTCTCGTCCTCAGATTGATTTTAATAAAAACAGATGATTCACTGAGGAAAGAAAATCCATTTTTCATGTAAAATTCATGTAAAAGATTCTTAGTAATTTGAGCGAGATTCTGACTTTTGTTTTAAAAAAATAAAACTATTTTATAGCAGAAGATCTTCGTTCGTCCAGAAACGGCTTCAAAACAAGAGAAGATGAAGCAGACGTTCAGTTTTATTTGTTCTGGAGAAACATGAAAAGATTCATCTGATGATGATGTTGTTGTTGATGATGATGATGATGATGACATCACTGTAACATGTGTTTTGTGTGTTCAGGTGGAGGAGATCAGAGGCTGCATAGAAAAGCTGTCAGAGGATGTGGAGCAGGTCAAGAAGCAGCACAGCGCCATCCTGGCCGCACCCAACCCTGACGAAAGTAAGACTCTCACTCACACACACACACACACACACACATTGCATCATCACTGAATTAACCCACAACAACAACAACAACAACAGCTGATCTGTAGATGGTCTTCATCAGCTGTGATGAAGATGTGTCAGCTGTGATCACATGACTAAAGTGGTTTCACAGAGACGTCTCACACTGGTCTGAGGTGTTGGCTAATCCAAATATGGTCAAAGAGGAGGAGCGTGGGTGGAGCTGAGACTTCTGTGCATGATGGTTCGTGACAAACATACACTCACCCACCTGTCACTCAAAGAGGCCACGCCCTAAATCCTCCATAACTTTAGTCCTTAATAAGATGTAAACAGGTGAGTTATATAAACAGGTGTCATTAAGGAGGAAATCAGCTCTAGAGACCAAAACAGTTTCTGTACCAGGCTGTAAACATGTTGATTTCTGCTGTAAAGTTGGACATTTTAACATGGGAGTCTATGGGGACTGACTCACTGTTGGAGCCAGACTCTAGTGGTCGTTAGAGGAACTGCAGCTCCTGGTTCTTCAGAGACGGCGGTCTCTGGTCCCAGACTTCAGAACCAGCCCCGAGTCTCTCTGGGTTCAGCTCGCAGTAGTTTTCTAACAGAGCTGCGTTCACTCACAAACCAAACATTTCCTGCTGTGGCTCCTTCACATTAAAGTTTTTCTCTTTCAAAAATAAAATGCTAAGCTGTGGGGAGGAGGCAGATTCCTCATGGAGGGGATGATCTGGATGTGATCTGATGGATTTAGTCTCAGACATGTGTTAAATCGCCGCCTGGACAATAGGACGTTTAATGTGTTTATCACAGAGTCAGCAGATCTTCATTAGCGCTGCTTTTCTTCAATAAATGAGCACTAATCGATTGGATATGGACACATTCCACACTCTGTGTTTAGTGGATTAGATTCTGCCGCTCACCTCCAGCTCAGCACCAAGGTGAAGCCGTTCACCTTGGTGCTGCAGATGAACACTCGCTCTGTGCCAGCGAGGTGTGAGCGGTCCCGGCTGCTGCTGGTCCGCCCACCTGTATGAGCTCATCAGTCTGCACACTCGTGTCCAGCGTCTGGACTTACGTCACAGAACCGTGGCTCTGTATCGTGCTGACAGTTTCAAAAAGCAGATATGTCCAGAAACATGTCAAGAAAACAACCATCAACATTTTGTTCAATCCTCTTCTTTTCTCTGTGAGTTTGTGCTTAGCCTAGCTTAGCATAAAGACAAGAAGCAGTAGAATACAGCTCACCTGACTCTGTCCAAAGTTCCAAAACACACCTGGAAACCCATATAAAGGAGCTACTTGTAAGTGTTGCTATTACTAAATAGCTAACGTTAGCATTAGCAGCTGTTTTCTTACCAATCTAGAAGAAACATTCAAACTTTACTCCTTTACTCACCAACATTTGTCTCCATCTACTGAAGTTAGCATGCTAACCAGCTAGCCCTGGCCCGTCATCACTTTCTGATAGCGCCTCACTGTAGCCTCCAGTCTGAAGACGGAGCAGCTCAGAGGACGTGTTATAAAGACAAAGATGGCTGAAACAAGAAACCAGGTTCAAACAAAGAGCTTCTTTAAAAGTCACTCAGTGACGGCGGGTGTTGATGTGAAGCCGAGACGTCTGAAGCTGTAGATGATGTAGATGATGCGGTAGACGGTTGACGTGTGTGTGACAGACTGTAGACACAGAAACGAAGTGTTGAATATTGTGTCGGTGACCTTGAGTAACCTCAGAGTGAAGTCTAATCCTGTTAACTTCTCACTGATGAGCGCTGCAGCTCGCCGTTTGAGCCTCTGATGAGTCTGTTGGCAGACGTCCACCGAGCGCCGCCGCCGGTCACTTCATCGTCCTCCCGACACACGAGGAAGAAATAAAATTGTGTCCTGTTTGAGAGAGCGAGGCTGAGAGAGCTGCACTGCGTTCACCCTGACCCCGACACACTGTGACTCAGCAGCAATGACTCAATGTCACTGCTGGAGCCTGCAGCCAAGTCTGTGCTGTCACAAACGCTGCACTGTAAAAAAGTCTGGCTTCAAAACAGGTTTTTCATCAGATTCTGGAGCCACAGGGCCCCCGGGGGCCCGGGGACCTCGGGGGGCCCCCGGGGGCCCGGGGGCTCAGCTCGGCTCCAGTTTCACTGAAGGCCACGTTCAGCTCGTCGTCAACGAGACTCAGATGCTTCGCGTCACATTACTTAGTCACATTTAGTCATAACTCAGTCAGATCTGTACATTCTCTGTGAGGACATCTTCATCTCTGCTGTCACTCAACAATCTTCCTGATCACCGATCAATAATCACAGAATAAATACATACAGGCTGAAATACACCAGAGCTGTAGCTGTAGCTCACAGCTAACTCACTGAGCCCAGCACAGCTTTATACAATACCTCAGTCCCACAAAGAATCATGGGAACTGTAGTTCAGAAATGTACATGATGACAGAATCCGTTGATGTTTATGTTAAACTACACGTTTTCATATCAGTATTTTTAATCATAGTAATAAACTTTATTTATAGTGCACTTTTCATACAAGAGATGCAGCTCAGTGTTTCACTGCACCGCCTGTTTCATGTGCGTAAATATTCCCTGACATTTCTAAATGAATCAACAAGTAAAAGTTTTCATCAAATATCAACAGACCATCAGATATTTGATGAAAACGTGTCGGTGTTGAGACGAAGGTCCAGATCAAACCTTCTGTATGAGACTGTATGAGCTGCCTGCTGGCGTCTGCTCTACATGAGCAGAGAGGAAACAGTGGATCCAATCTGCTGACTGATTTAAAATGAGGCCGGTTCATCCAGAAACTAGTGGAGAGACTGTTCCTGTGAAGGACGGGGAGGTTTGTGGTGCAGCTCGGGTTTTCAAACAAAGTCAACTACCCTGAAGTTTAGCTAAAGTGACCTTTAGTACAGCGACCTCTGTGAGCGCAGCAGCTGCAGTGTGGGATTAAATGAAGGTGGAAGTTATGATGCACGAGGAGGGAAGAGGGGGAAAACATCAGATGAAAGGAATAATGATGATTGATTGATGATTGTGATTCACATGTTCAGAGAGGAGCTCAGAGTTTCCTGCTCGTACAGTTTGTTCTGCATGCAGATGTTTTCTGTTCTCGTGTTGCCTGATGATGATTATTTATTCTTTTCTTTTCCATCCTTTATGTTGCATTAGATTTTATTTTATATATATATATATATATATATATATATACATATACATTTGTGTTACTTCAAATTCATTTTATTACCACGTATTAAATTTTATTATAACTTTATTATATCCCATTGAATTTGTGTTACCTTTAATTAATTTGGTTACCTCGCATTAAATTTGTTATATCACATTAAATGTGTAAGTTTGCGTTAAATGTGACGCATGAAATGCGACGTCGCCTCGTGTCAGATGTTGTGTGGCATCAGATCACGTCGCCTTGTTCTGCATGTTGTTTCTCTTGTTGCTTGATGATGATCATTATTTCTTTTTTTCTTTCCCATCCTTTACTTTTCTCCTTTCCTCTGATTCGACCCTTTTTCTACCTTTAACCCCCCCCCCCTGCATGCTGCCTGTGACGTCTCTGCTCTAATGTTGACGTGTTTAACCTGCATGAAGTGAAGTAAAGCTCAGACGAGACGATGAACCGCTGACGACATGTGAGTGACGTCTCTCTGCTGTGGACGGGATCCTCACCTTCACCACGATCCCTGTATATATTCTGTACATTAACACATTCCCTCACAGTGGATATATGAATTTATATTAATGCATCTAATATTGAATATTACTCTGTTTTCACTGTGATGTGCTTCACACTGTATGTTATTGCTTCATTATTGGGATCAATCAGGTAATTAAAAGTCATAATTAGCAGGTTCTTTATGATCCGGCTTGTTTAATGAGATACGAGGTTAGATGAGTGAAGATGAAGATGAAGATGAACTGAAGTGAGAGTTACGAGATACTTCACCTTCTTCTTCCTCCTGGTGAAAACGCGTCTCTCCTTCTTCTTCTCCTCCTCACGTCTGCGTCAGCTCGCTCTCAGCTGCCAGCACACCGTCATACAAGATGCATCCCAGTGTTTCTGCCTGAATAATGCATGATGGGAGTTGTAGTGAGAGGGGAGGAGTACAGCTGTAGTTCTGAGCTCAAACCACAGCCATTCACAAAGACTCAGTTACTCCTCCTTTCACCATCACTTCATTTCTCTCTGACGTCTCGAAGTGAGTGAATGAGTGACTGTCAGTTACGAAGATGTTCAGCTGATCAAATCATAAACTCAACAGACGTGTCGTAAAAACGCTGCGAATTCTCAATTAAAATCTGGTTTGCCAAATTACAAGTCTGAGGAACAGAAGAGAGATGTCCTGAGCTTTAACTGATGAAATCAGCGCCGTGGAAATGAGCGTGACACTGAGTCATTTATCAAGACAGCAGCTGAACACGGAGGACATGTTGTTACTGACCATTACATTTTATTACGTCGCCTTAAATGTGTTACCTCGTATTAAATTTTATTAAATCACAAAATGTTATTATATTGCATTAAAAAGTAATAATAATAAAGTCAAATTCCACACTGAGCCGATAAAAACACACGTGACTGTTGTAGAAGAGCGTTAGCAGCACATGCTAATGACACCCAGAGAGGGGGGGGTGGGGGGCTATTGGTCGATCGACTGATTACTGCTTCTTGAATTATAATAATTAGAGTGGTGTCTAGCTTACAGACAACATGACGTGAAGAGCGAGGCATATTAGTACTTAGTCCAGCTCAACAATACTGGGGGGGAAGAGAGGAGTGAGGAGGAGGGGGGATACTGGAGGTGTCGGAAAGGAGAGGGCGAGGGATTCGAAGGAAGGAGGTGAGAGGAGGAGTGGAGAGACGGAGTTCATCGAGATATGTGCGCGGAGGAGGAGGAGGTGGGGGAGGTGGAAGAGGAGGTGGAGGAGGGGGAGGTCAGACAGAGAGAACAGGGTGAGTCAGAGGCAGAAAAGGCTGAATGGCACTGCAGCGCTCATAAATCTGACTGCACTGCTGCAGCTAACACACACACACACACACACACACACACACACACACACACACACACACACACACACACACACACACGTCGCGCCCCTCTCAACATGGCTGACATGATGTGATGTTCCTGTTCCTGGACACACGTCAGCTCACGTCTTCCTCTGACAGTTGCCGTCCAGAGTTCAGCAGCTTGGTCCTCAGAGCGCCTCTCACCTTTTCTAACTCACGTCCCACCTGGACGGAACAACAGGACCAGTACTGTCTTCTCCAGAAAATCAAAGGACTCTTAAACATTTTTAATGTTTTTTTCTTTTAAAAACATGATTGTATTAAACACTGTTGTTGCTGAAGTGTCTCTTCTCTCTCCTCTGCAGAGACCAAGCAGGAGCTGGAGGACCTCACAGCTGACATCAAGAAGACAGCCAATAAAGTCCGTTCAAAATTAAAAGGTAAACACTCACAGACACATCGTCACGTCACCTTTTCATTTCTGCATTTCTAATAATAGATTCATATAGTAAATATTACAGGTGAAACACACACACACACACACACACACACACACACACACACACACTCTCTCTCTACAGTGCAGACGCGATGTAGAGAGAGTGTGTGTGTATGTGTGTGTGTGTGTGTGTGTGTGTGTGTGGGGCTCCTCGTAGACTACGGAGGATTTTAGCTGTTCCCGCCCTCACTGTCACAAAGTGCGGCTCCTGTTGCCTAGCAACCTTAACAACATTACTTTGCTTCGCAGTAACTTGGTGTTTCCAGTCTCTTGTTAAACAGTTGAAGCTTCAGCTGTTGATCGGAGCTGAGTCTAATCCTCAGACTCTGTCACTGTTGTTTACGCAATGCATCTTGGGATATGTTGGACCAAGAACGATCCACCTGTTCGAGCCTTCGTTACCCAGGAAACGAAGGACACATTTGAAATGAGTCTGGTCTCTGTGACGTCAGAGTCACAGTAGAAACTTCATCTGTTGAATAAACAATCAATAATCAATAAAACACAGATCCTTATGTAAGAACAAATAAACATCCGTTCACACACACACACACACAAAAGTACTCACAATCTGTTGCTTACTCACCCTGTTTTCATCTCATTGTCACACACACACACACACACACACACACCATCAGTGACATCTGTGATATTGCTGAGTCATCATGGATCCAGCAGAGCAGCTGGGCCACAAGCCAGGACATACACACACACACACACACACACACACACACACACACACACACACACACACAGTGAAAAACATTATATAAGCATTTCAGTTCATCTCATCAGTCACTGGAGACAAACCGACAGTCACATGACACCAGGACAGACATGCAGCTGGTTACCGTGGCACACGCACACACACACACACACACACACACTGGACGTATGATTTTCATCAGGGGTCTGATACTCTTCAGTACATATTTGTATTGTATCTATTCATATTTTTCTATAATATTTCTTCACATTTCTATTGTAAATATTTGATTTCATTGTTAATTATTTGATTAGATTTTTTTATTGAAGCTCTCACCTGCAGAACTCACCTGTTTCATCTTTCATCTCTGTTTATTGTCACAAACCAAAACATCAAAGCTGATTCCTCAGATGTTGAAAAGCTTCGTGGTGAAAAACCAGATTCTGATTCAGAAATCATCAATATGTGATGGTGCAAAATGTAAAAAGTTCATATAATGTTTTTGTAATTATAATTATTTTTCTTTACCTCACTTGTATTTGCAGGACAATCATGCTTTAAGTTTTCTAACTACAGTTCCCATCATGCTTCAGGCCGGGGATGTCAGACTGTCTCATTAACAGCAGCTGAATCAGCTGTCATCAGATCAGCTGTGATCGGCTGTCAGTGTATCCTGATGTTTTACTGTGATACTGAAGGAAACTTAGAAACAGGACGATTCTCAATGAAGTTCTGCAGCCTCTGTTTCTCTGGAGCTTTATTCTGAAGGGACATCAGAGATAATGACATCATCAGGAAGTGACATCACACTGAATCTGAACGTGTGTGCTCAGATCTGATTTCTGACACTTGTTTTGACCAAACTGTCCCTTGAGGACTTTTACATTGAAGGACAGAAGCCTCGTTAGAGAGGGAACCACAGAGACGCTCCAGATGTTTCCAGCTGCCTCTGACAGTCACATGACCCTGGTCTTGATGTCACACCTGTCCCTGACAGTCACATGACCCAGGACCAGGGACTGAACCACCTCATACAGTATGTTCTGTATGTAAAGTCTAGATGTGGTGCACGCAACACTTCTTTTATTCTGGTGGGGTGAGGCGGAAGCTTTCACAATAAGAGCACCGGCTAAAATGTAAAGATTTTAAAGTTTTTTTTCCTGTTTGATTTAATTTAACTTTATTTAACTGACCGTGTGTGTGTGTGTGTGTGTGTGTGTGTGTGTGTGTGTGCGTGCGTGTGTGTCTTCCTGCAGCAATCGAGCAGAGCATCGAACAGGAGGAGGGTCTCAACAGATCATCAGCAGACCTCAGGATCCGCAAGACACAGGTGAGACAAGAACAGATGGAGGAGGAGACTCAGTGTTGCCATGGTGACAGTTACCACATCACTAGTTAGACAGAAAGTTCTCCAAAAAAACATTCATGTTATTAATTAATTAATTAAAAGAGAAAAAATAAAAACATGGATTACAGTTATTTTGTTTATTATTTGTAGTTTGTGAAAAGTACGACGGAAAACTTTCCAAACGCCACTTAATTATTTATGAATCAGTTTTATTTGTTTGTGTTTAAACAGACTTTATTTATGAGGAAGAATTTTTCAGTTTTATTTTGTACTTCTGTGCACATTACATATATTTTCCCGTATTCTACTTTTATTTTGGTAGGTGGTGCCTGATCATCAATCACCATAATTAATAATCGATCACTGTTGATCACCCATCACTTTGTGTCTGTTCTCTGAGCTCCCCTTGCCTCTGCAGCCCCTCCCATCCTGGTTTCACCCTGCAGTATTCTGCTCTGTCATTGGCTGCTGTGCCCCCCTCCCCCCATCAGCTGCTCCCTGCTGCCTCCTGGTGGAAGAGAGGATAACTGCAGCTCCTCCTCACAGCTGCAACACAACATTACACAACCACAGAGCTGTGTGTGTGTGTGTGTGTGTGTGTGTGTGTGTGTGTGTGTGTGTGTGTGCGTGTGTGTCATCATTACTGATGCATGTAAAGGTGGAGCTCATTTGAACTACTTTACATACTGCTGGGTGGTGTAACAATAATAATACATAATAATTGAAATATTGATTATTGGTGATATTGATCAACACAACTGATCTGAATTATTAGTAAAATTCATGTAAATGTAAATCTAATATCTGCTGTTTCTATCAACAGAAACCTGTAAATAAAACCAGACTTTTCACATGAACACCTCCTCTTCTTCCTCCTCTTCTTCCTCCTCCTCCTCTTCTGTTGTCGTCCTGCAGCACTCGACGCTGTCACGTAAGTTTGTGGAGGTGATGACCGAGTACAACACCACGCAGTCCAAGTACCGCGACCGCTGCAAGGACCGCATCCAGAGACAGCTGGAGATCAGTGAGTCCTACAACACGCAACGGAACACGCAACGGAACACGCAATGGAACACAACACGCAACGGAACACGCAACGGAACACGCAATGGAACACAACACGCAACACAACGCAACGCAACACACAGCACGCAACACAACATGCACTGCAACACGCAATGGAACACGCAATGCAACACAACACGAAATGGAACACGGAACGCAACAGGCAACACACCACAACGACGACACAACACACACTCGTACCATGTGACTCAGGTGAATGTCCAGGTGTCTCAGCTCTGTCTCTGTTTCTCTCTGCAGCTGGGAGAACCACCACCAACGAGGAGCTAGAGGACATGTTGGAGAGTGGCAAGCTGGCCATCTTCACCGATGATGTAAGCACCGCACCTGAGCCCGTAGCCATGGGTCACTTTATTCTGAGCCATTCTGCATCCCATAATAATCCTCATTTAGTACCGGGAGGCAGAATCGCCACGAGGTGCGCTGAGACATCAAGTGAATGCGGCCTTTGTCACTGGCTTCAGAGGGAATGATGGGAGAGACGAAGGAGCTTTTATTTTGAAGGAGTCACCTCACATTATCTTCAGCTCCTTCAAAATAAAAGCTCACATATTTGCCAGGGCCTTGAGGTAACATGACTGGAGTGTCATGTGACCTGATGTTGTGGTCAGCTGCTGTAATTGAACACTGAGCTGGAAGTCATTTCACCGAGTCGAAACCACACCCACCTGTGATGTCACAGTGTACTGACCGGTACACTGTGACTTCAACCAGTGAGGTCAGTAGGAACAAGGTTTCCAGCAGGTGTTGCTCTGTAAGCAGGTAAGTGAGTCAGACTCCAGCAGAACCCGGAGGTCACAGGTCATGGTCTGAATTTACAGACAGTCACAAAAATTTCATTTGATTATAATAATTAATTATATTCATTTTTGTTGAATAGCACCAGGGTCATAATGTTTTTACATAAAGTCCATGTTTCATGTCAGGTCTTTAAGTTTCATAAAAATTGAAAGACTCATTTGTTCTAAACTGAACCATTTTAAAGTATATTTTTTTGGGCTTTTATGCCTTTAATGGACAGCACAGTGGAGAGTGACAGGAAACGGGGAGGCAGAGAGAGGGGGAATGACATGCAGCAAAGGGCCGTCCGATGCGGGATTCGAACCGGGGCCGACTGCAGCGAGGACTGTAGCCTCTACACATGGGGCGCCTGCTTAAACCACTACGCTACACGACGCCCCTGAACCATTTTAATAATAAAAGAATTACATATCTCATAATAGCCATAATTCAGGAATCTAATCATTTATAGCAAATATATGAATAGATATGAATAATCGTTTGTCGTGGGGTTTTAGCTGCTTTTTGTTTTAATTTCAAACAGTTGTGGTAAAATACTGTTGTGTTTAAACCCGTCCTCTCCCGCAGATCAAAATGGACTCTCAAATGACCAAGCAGGCCCTGAATGAGATCGAGACCCGACACACCGAGATCATCAAGCTGGAAAACAGCATCCGTGAGCTGCACGACATGTTTGTGGACATGGCCATGCTGGTGGAGAGCCAGGTACATGGCGTGACAGGAGGTGTGTCTGCATGTCAACACATTGTTTGGGGTATCACATGTTAAACTTTGTAATGTGTGTATTTGTTGCCAGGGAGAGATGATTGACAGAATTGAGTACAACGTGGAGCACTCTGTCGACTACGTGGAACGTGCCGTATCTGACACCAAGAAGGCCGTCAAATACCAGAGCCAGGCTCGCAAGGTAACGTGCTCATCGGAGAGACATGAAGAAGAGCAGTCGACTACGACTCCCAGAAAACACTGCAATAAACATACAGTCAAAGAACTTCAGACTGTTGCTGTGCGGCTAACGGCGGGATGAAGTTAGACTGATCTTTGTAAAACTTGTCTGATAAATTCAGAGATGATATTGTGTGAGCATGAACAATGTGTAGACAGAACAATATACACTCATATATTCAACCACTATTGTGAGGTATGATTTCAAGGTTTCTATGTTGTGGTCACCGACCTGCACGTGTCTAACCTGTCGCCCCGCAGAAGAAGATCATGATCATCATCTGCTGCGTCATCCTGGGCGTGGTCCTGGCGTCGACCATCGGCGGCACACTGGGCTTCTAAGACGCTCCGCCACCTGCCGCTGTGACGACCGACACTGACCAACCGTCCGACCGACAGCCAGCAGAGAAAAGAAACACCAATGACAACAACAACACAAAAACTTGAAACACAAATGCAAGACAGATAACCAATCAGCTAGGAAGAGATAACAGTCCAATTACAGATAAGAGGAAACACCACGGGGTTGGGTGGGGTTCAAAAAGCAAAGAAAAAAACAATAAAAACGCCATCACATTATAGCTGACTTAAATACATAACATATACAAAAAGAGGGTACAAATAAATCTACTATTTATTACAGATGTACATGTAAATGTATGAACATATGAAGCAACACATGGGTTAGCTACCTGTAAAAAATTATGACCTATAATATGACATTTACTTGTTTGTTTGTTTGATTGTTTTGCCTTTTTTCTTATTTTTTAACCGTTTCTTTCGTTTTTCGGGAGTCTCCGAGGGCAGTGATGCTGACTGCCGCTGGGTGCATTCTGCAGGACCAGCATTCCAGAGCCAGAGCTTTATTCGTTTGTTCCTTTCTTACCTTTATCTCCTGGTAGAGATTCTGGAGCTGAGCACGCTCTCGAATGCCACAGGATACGTTGTAAATAAATGTGCTCAGCTTCCCAGTTAAATGAAGGAAAAATCTTCTCTATCGGAACATTCCGGAACGCTAGAACTCCGCACAAGAACAGAGTGAGGTTCCGGAATGGCGTCAGTAACTCTGAGATGTTCAGGTATGCTGTCCCGCAGGACCAGCACCCTCCGGCTTTGGTAGAACCAACTTTGTCCCCTTGTTCATGGGTGGGAGGGACCGACCTCACCGTTGGCTCAGCCCACCTCTTTAGACCATCCCTCATTGGTTGATAACTCCTATCATTCACCTCAGTCAGCCTATTAAATTAGCCCGCCCTGCTACACACCATTTATAAAAGGAAAGAGCGTGACACCCCGCCCTCTAAGATGCTTTCACAGCCAGCTGATTGATTGGGAAAACACCATGTGGGTTTGGGTGGGGGGTGAGGGGGGGGTTGTAATGTGGCAGGTTTCCAAGACAACAACCTCCCCTTCTAGTCACACCTATCCAACCAAAGAGCAGGGGGAGGGAAGGCCTTTGGTTTTCCTGCTGAATTCAATTGGCCAGTGGTAGAACATGTGATGTTTGACTGACAGGTGAATGGTGGGAAAGAGCGGGGCCAGGAGGAGGAGGGTTTAAAGGAGGGTGGGAGGAGACAGACAGTCAATCTATGCAGTTTAGATAAGAGGAAGAAGACTTGTCCTGTGCCCCCTCCCCCACCCCCCCCACCAAGGTAGCCAATGAGGATCAGGGGTTCACCTTACTGCACCAAAAGGCTCATCACACTGATCGCTGTAGAAATATGGTAGTCGAGGCCGGGTGTCATCTCCAAGCTGTCATGACTGTTCTTCCGGAAGATTCTAAAAAATGAAGAGAACACATTAAAAAGTAAAGAAGAAAAGTAAAATGCAACATGATAAAACTTACAAACAAGCCAGACAACAAACCAGATGCACAGAAAACGTAGAAACACTGAAGGCGCTGGCGTTCCCCAGTGACCTGAGTGTCGCGGTTCTATTTTTCCTGTTCTGTTTTTTAAAGGGAAATGTTTGTTGCTTCGTTGTTCCGTGGTGCTGCCGTTTTAGTGTGTGCGTGACGTGTCCCGTGACGTATCGGCCTCCTCATTTAGTGGTTACTGTTTAGTCTGTATGGTTTGATGCATTTGCCTGTTTGCTCCCTGCATCCCTCCATCTCCTCCTGAGTGTGTGTGTGTGTGTGTTTGGGGACTGTGATGTTGAATCCACACCATCTGAATGCCTGAGTTACACAGGTGCTACTGAACAGGAGAGGCTTTTCCTATTGGTGGGTTTCCTCCGTGGAAGGTGGAACATGTGACACACACATTCACATACATTCACAACACAGCACACGCATGAACACCTCATGTATATATGTAACGCTTCATACATACACTATGGAAATTTCCCCCTTAACACACACACTTTTAACTTTCCTGTGTTACACATCATGCCAATGCTAGTGTTAGCGTGTGTCGCTTAGCATGCTGTAGAGTTAGCTCGTGTTACGTGTAGATCGTGTAGGAGCTGCTTGTTGGAGACTGATTGCAAGTTTTCTGGTCTTTTTTTTTAATGTTAAAGACACTTTCCATGTGTTGGGGAAAGATTTAAGAAATAAGACGGAACGAGTTAAAAGGTCGCTCTTTGACAAAACATAATCTTAACATAAAGATGCAGTTTCAGAAAAGGCTAGTAAGGTAACTAGCGAGTAAGATTTTTTTTTGTCAAACTAATTAAATTTCAACAGCAGTAAAGCATTCGGACACAGCAATACACAGAAAGTAAATTACAATTTGTCATTTTAAAATGTTGAATCTGTACATCAGATTGCTTTAGCATTAAGCTAACAGGACTTCTTTTAAGAAAAGAAGATGCTAATTTAAAATAAGCTAATCATAACTTGGCAAAAGAAATAAATTAGTTATGACAGTGATCTGAGTGATGTGTTCACCTCAACATTACTCCAGATTGGGAGAACATACATGTGCGTTACATTTCAAGCTGTATGTTGTAAAAGCATGTTTTGTTTCATTGCTGATAATGTGGTTCTGTGTTGAGATGTAACACAAATGTGTGTGTTGCCCCAAACTGGATACATGGGTGTGTTGAAAACTACTACACAGTATTACGACTCCCTCCTGCTGTAGTCAGAGGAGCTTTAAGGAGGGAGGTTCCTCTGTGTTCAGGCTCTGTGATACGGAGGTTCATCTACTTCTGTTGAGGCCTACACTGGACGATCCTGCCCCACAGTCACTGTCAGGGTAACAACAACCATTAATACCACCTTAACCTCCACAAAATCAGTCTACACTACACTCAAAGCAATAAAGCCAGTTTGTTATAGTTCAGTTTCATTCAACAGAAAAAGTGTTAGCTAACTAGCTTGCTATGTCTAGATTCTGCCCTGAGTTTAAAAGCTGTAGAGTTGTGAAACGGACGGAGATGTTTTGTAAAAGTTTACGTGCATTTTCTGGCTTCAAAAACTCTCCTTCCAACTGTGTTAGAAAACGCCTTTGATAAAAAGTCACTTTGCAACTCTATTGTTCTGGAAGTTTCCGCTCTGAGAAGAAGCTAGCATGATGTGGCGTTTGACAAGTATCATTAGCCAGCACCGCAGCCACGACATGACTAATGATACTTAGCATCAAGTTAGCTGCTTTGTCATGGCTAACAATACTTCTGGCTGCCAAGGCAATGTGTAGACATGAGGAAGTAGTCGTTGCTATGTTGTGTTCTTTTGGGAGTCCTAGTAGTTAGCGCTGTTAGCTACGTCTATAATGCTATCTAGTCGAGTTTGGAGAGGAGAGGAGGTGGGAATTTTTATTCTATTCCTTGACTTCCCAAGACCAAAACATCTGTGTCCACCAAAGCTTAGCAAACAGCCCCAACCCCTCCAAGCAGCGAAGTCCAGTAGATGTTTGTTCAGATGAATTGTCAGTAGATTTAGAATAATTTAGCACTTTTCTCTGCTGTTGTGTTGTCAGTGTTTACGGCTACATTCTGTCTTCATGAGTGGTTTATAGGTGGTTTTACCATTTTTAGACTGTAGTACAAACATCAAATCTGTCCACAGATGGATTAAATATCAAATATTGTTCCCTCCTGTAAATCAAACCCAAAGTATGTTTATCTTTACTACATTTCCCAGGTGTCCTTGGACTATTTTAGAGCTCTGCTTTATTTCGGAAATTTCAGACATGTATTTAGGGAATCGCTAAATCGGCAAAGCAAAACTGACCTACCTGTTTTCAGAGTCAATGCGTTTTACCTCCACCAATCACAGTGATTTGTTCATCACTTGCATCATAAAGTCAGCCACACGATATTTAATTCAATTACATGTTCTTGTTGGTCGATGGTTGTCAAGGTGACGTCACGGTCGTTGCGGTAGTCTTGCAATGGTGGTGATTGCGGTGGATGAGAATCAGCGATGTGAGGATGCCGTCATAGCACCAGCCAGCTTGTTAACACTGATGTTTCTTTGCTGTGTGTGTGTGTGTGTGTGTGTGTGTGTGTGTGTGTGTGTGTGTGTATGTGTGTTTTCTGTAAAGTTCCTGTTCCTGTGTGGCAGCCATCATCCATCAGGCCCCGCCTCCATCCTCCTGGGAAAGAAAACACGGACAAACATCACAAAACCATAAAGGCATTAAGGTTATGGTTGATGAACCAACTTGATGAAGCTTAGGAGGTTTGTCCAAGTATTCGGTCCCCTGTCCTTTTGTCCTCCCTCTTCCCATTTGTGTTGTTGTAGTTTGACTGTACAAAAAGACGACGTTGAGGATTGGGCGTCTGCCCCTTCCCTTCCCCAGCAGACCCCACCCATCCTGTCGTCTGTAATAATGATAATAATAATAATAAAAAAGGCATGCAAAAGCGTTGTGGAGTTTGCATGATGGTGTTTTTTGTACCCCACCCCCGACCTGCCCTCCATGTTGTGCACTTTACCGCTCATCGGACCTGTCTTTGGTTGGCACGTTAGCTGACTACTCGTTCTTACTTAGTCTGCATTATTTTTATTTATCTAAAAGTTGAACACATGTTGACATTACGTGTCGACCTGTGCTTTGTTTGTAACATATTGTTGGAGCAGAAACTGGATTTTTAAAGTGTTTAGTTGAAGGAGTGGGTTGATGTTTAAACATGAACGGCTAAATTTTCAAATATGCTGCCATCGACGTCAGTCGTACAGCTTTCCCCCGACCCCTGATGTTGACCTCCAAACCTCCCGCTAGGTCACACCCCACTGTTATCACCTGATCGCTGTGCAGATTTACTTCCACAGTTGCATTTGTGTTGTGTTTTTGTGGAGGAATTGTCCCCGCCAACGTTGATTATTGTTGTAAGTCTGAAAACCTCAACCTGTGGGCTAACCTCCCGTCACCCCTCTACCCGGCCTTGTGTGTGTGCAGCATGCCTCCCTTCCTCATCAGTGACACAAGATTGGTGCATAAATGTGCGAGTGTGTGTGTTTGTTTGTGTCGGAGCAGCACGAGTTTGTTTTGATGTGCAGAGCATCCGATCGTATAGGTCCACGGGTTGCAGCCGTTTGACAAATTCCACTTTTTTTTCTTTTTTTTTTGAGAAAGGGAAGAGATTAGAGATCAGACATATTTATGGACGCCATGATCACTGTTATTGTTATTATATTTATTAAGATTCAAACCAAAGCGTTTTTTGCCCTCTCCTCATGTGTTCTCAAAATGTTTGCCGCTAATATCAAAGAGCACAACGCGAGTCAAGTTTACACAAAGATGTTCGTCAGAAATAGTGAAAAAACATAATTAAAAAAACATCAAATGCTACCATAAGTATAAAGACAAAAGCCCAGCCCCCCCCCCCCCAAAAAAAAGAAAAGCCAACCACCAGCCCTCACTGCATGTTGGTCTGTCCACCAATCAAACCGACAAACCTTTCCAATAGTTATCTCATGCCACAACAACGATGTCTGCCTCCACCCCCCTTTCCTTTCCTTTCCACCTGTAGATGTTAGTTTGTGGTCTGATTAGTGGAAAAATATGACGCATAATCATCTGTGAAATAAATTAGCATATGTACGCTTCTCCTCCACTTGAGGCATATACGGAGACAATGGTGGTGCTTTCTTATTCTATTTATTAATTGCTGTTATTCTTGTTATTTTGGTGTCATTAATTTATGTACAGCTTGTTTACCAGTCTGTGTGTTCACGTTACAGGAGCAGTGCTCAGCTGCAGGTCTGAAGGTTTTGCTAGCTAGTTAGTCGAAAAGTTTCATGGTTGATGGGTCAAAGCCAAACAACCAACCAAAGCCTCTTCTCCTGCAACTCCCCTCCACAGTCCCAAAAATAACAGTCAGGCAAATTACGATGAAGCAGCACTAGCTAACAATGCTTTGTGGTAATTCTCCTCATTATGATCATCATGACTGCAAGTCACTGCTCAATTATTTTCTGCTGTTTGACTCTTTACCTCTGCTGCACCAAACTACACACAACCATACACTTGACAAAAATGTATATTAAATCTGGAAATTCAAAGAAAAAGATAGCTGGCTAGCTGTTAACAGCTATGTAGGGGCAAGTAATGCTAACATTTGTATTTATTTACTTCTCCATGTTAGTTCCAATGTCACTAGACTGAGCCGTCAATGAACACAATTCTAATTACATCAATAATTGGAGATGTTGGTGGTGATTCAGAGGTTTGACACAAAGCTAGGAAATTGGCACTTCCTGTATATGTTATAATTATATGATTGTGCTTCCAAATTGTTGTTGTGCATACACAATAGAGATAATGAATCTCTTACTGTGACTGAGAAGAAATTGAGGAGTGACAAACCACTGTCACCTAGAGTCCAGTACTTGCTAGTTAGCTAGCTAGCTAGCACCACTAAACCTACAGTGAGCATTTTCCTGTGCGTGACAAAGGACTGCAGCCTTGTCAATGAAGTCACATATATAGGCAAGAATATATATAAATCTTGCACCAACATACTGCGTAGCCATTACTGCTTCTATTGGCTGTGTACAGTTTCTGTCAGAGCGGGGTACAGAAAGCAGGAAAAAATCATCCGCAGAGAGTTTGGGTGCGACACCAAGACTCCAAAGATTGACTTACCATTAGCTGTTAGCCATTAGCCTGCGTGTGGAAGTAAATTAGTGTGTTGTTTCACACATGTACTGAAAACTGACTCATAGTTCCTGTGGTTCTTGGGTCACAAATGTGTGTGGACGCAACACGCTCCGCAGTTATTTCTGCAGATGAGTTTTTCAATGTGAACCAGCAGCACGACGTCTGCAGACAGGTGTCTGTCTTCCAAGTTTGTACGCAACAGACACCGAGTTCAGAGACTGTGAGGGACTCAAGTCGGTCACGCTCTTTTGTTCCTCCACTGTCGGACGATTAAACTCTTCTCTACGATGATTTTTGTCTTCCTGAAACAATTTTCAAAAACCAAAACCTGTTCAGTGCCCTGCTCTGGATGATGATAAAATGAAAACGTTTGTTGTGGCTTCGATCTGCTCTTGTCAGCAGTAGCAGCTGCGACTTGATATTACTTGTTGTTTCTGATGATTTATTTGATGCTCCACTCATATGTCTTTCTGCACTCTCATCGTACGAGACAGTATTTGGTTTGTATCAGTGTTTTTTTTCCCTAGTGGGAGGGGTGGGAGGGGTCAGGGGAGGGTCCATGAAGATAGACCACACCCACATGGTCTCTGCCATAGCAAGTAGGAAAGACACTTAAATAACATTGTTATTACCATTATTATTATTATTATTATTATTATTATTATTATTATTATTATTATTACCATAAATGACAAATAAAATGCAGTAAAATATTTGCAAAAACCCAGATGGAGAACGAACGGCTTCACACAAAGTGATCAAACATAAAAACTTTTAAAAAGGGAGGTTATGACGATTCTATAATAGCAATGATTTAAAGAGGTACAAAAGGAGTTATGTTATCATAAATAATAGTAATATTGAATATTGAATGCTCGCAATTTTGTCAAACTGAAACTGGATTCTTTGTGTTATGTAATTATTGTAAATAATTCAAAGAGAGAAAAAATGACTTGCATGTCTATGTATAAATCTACTGAGATATCTATTCCCGTCAAAGTTGACAAGTAGTTCGATCTCTGTCCTTTTTTGCCACTTTCGCTTATCCCCTAAAGTATGTCACCCGTCCTCACCTCCACCCCCCCACCCTCCCATCGCCACCGTCTTTATTCTTTCTACGTGGCCGAGACAACAACAGAGAGAAAGAGAAACATAGCTTCCAGCGTCCTCGTCCGCCATGCTCAGTTCAGACGCTGTGTTTACACCAGCCTGCTGAAATCCTGACTTCACACATGTAGAAAGAAAAGAGGTATAATGGTGTTTTCACCAGTAGTTCATCCACTGGAGGGCAGTGTTGAACTTTTTTTTTGTGATTCCAGTCTCTTCGTTTCAGTCGAAAAGATGAATCCACGACGGAAACAACCAAATACTGTCTCGTACGATGAGAGTGCAGAAAGACATATGAGTGGAGCATCAAATAAATCATCAGAAACAACAAGTAATATCAAGTTACAGTACTAGCCTGCTCTACTAGCTCGACAGCATGAGCTGCTACTGCTGACAAGAGCAGATCGAAGCCACAACAAACGTTTTCATTTTATCATCATCCAGAGCAGGGCACTGAACAGGTTTTGGTTTTTGAAAATTGTTTCAGGAAGACAAAAATCATCGTAGAGAAGAGTTTAATCGTCCGACCAGTGGAGGAACAAAAGAGCGTGACCT